GGGAAAAATCGAAGACATCCAACTTAAGAGAATTATAGGATATTGCCCTTCGAAATTTATCCATTTACCGTTTAGCAAGAAACTATTATGATTGCTAATAACATATTTTGACTGATTTGTCTTTTAGGTCGTTGTCCTTTTAACGTTGTAGTTGTGATCTTCGAGATCATTACAAGTCAATTCCAGTCGGTCCGAACCTGCCGTAATCATCAAGACGGGAATCGTTTTAATCCTTTCGACACTTTTTAAATGGAAGTCCGAAGTCAATAGCAAATACCGTAAATATTGACCCAATCCGGTTCAAAGTCAGGTATGGAGAGGATTCTTGTCGACAACGTACTTTCCCATTTTGCCCCTCTTTGCCCAATGAATTTCAGTCTAGGGTTTAATGGATGGTTGACATTGTTGAATTTTATTGATATTAAAATTAAAGTTTTTCAAAATAGAAAGAAAAACAAAGAAACCGGCTTGAAAAATCTGATAGAAAACTATTGCTGACAGGTGTTCAACGCCCAAATTTGACCAGAAAAAACTTTATCAAAATATAACAACTTTGAATGGTTATTATAAAATGGTTTTAATATAAATCTATTTATAAAAATATATAAATCTAGATCCGTTGTTTAATTATACAGAGTATGAAAAAATTGACGTATTCAAATTAATTATACACGGGTTTACGAAATGAAAAAGTTGTGTCAAACGCAGGATTCGAACACACGATTTTCGGATCGGAAAAACTAACGAAAAGGGATGATCCAAAATTGAAAAATCCATTCTCTGTAATTTGGCCTTTTAAAAGTTTTCATTCAATAATATTAAAAAAAGTGTCCAGGCGATTTATAAACTTTGACATTAAAATCATAAAGACAATCTTCAACCATACCAGAAAAATCTTTATACAGCAGTATGTTTAATTAATTGGTTTAAGTTTGATAATGGTAAAAAATTATTAAAGATTGAACAAACAAATAAAATGGTTAGATATATCCTTGAGATCTGCGGGGTGATGAACAGGTTTGGTTGTTTCCGATCATACTGGTTTGATCCGCCTAGCCTCGCTGGTTTGGTCACACACGTTTCGACATTCCATGTTTGGAATGTGTATTATTTTGACAAGCGCATTCTTTGATGATTGATATACACATACGGTTTAATAAAAACTAATTTAAAAGTTAACAAAAATCCGACTGGTAGATCCAAACCAGCGAGACTAGGCGGATCAATGTAGTTATATTACCTATCACAATTAGATTTATTATAACTGCCAAATATGAACTTATAAGGAGAAGGACGTGGGACAGTTGATTTTAATTTTTTTTAAATACGTTTTATCTGCCTTCATGAATTTTAAGATTATTATATATCAGTCATTTTCCTTGACGAAAATAGTATACAGGATCGTATTATAAGAGATTAGATATATAAAAAGTTACGAAAACCGAAAATGCTTCAAGTAAAATAGGGTAAAAAAAGATCGTGACAAAAAAATTCGTTTTAAGCACCCTCTAAAGTTCTAAAGAATTAATTTTTATTGCTGTAAACATACATTTTTGAGTGCCGGATTAGACGGGGCAATTTTCTTGCCCATTCTGCGATGCTAGGTTAAAAATTCATAAATCCTCTGAATTTTGTCTATTGTCCGTGGTATTACAACTATTGAAAAGCTATATTTCTCTTTAAGCCCACAAACTTTGGTATTCTGTCATTATAAGCAGAAAAAATTAAAAAAGTACAGCACTTTTATACTGCTGGTTCTAATTTATTTAATGAGGCCAAATTTATGCCATCGCGTGTACTTTAGAGGTTCCTAAGTCCCTGTAAAATTTCCTGTGGGTTTGTGAAATTATTTTGAAATTATCTCTATTTTAACCATTATCGAAAAAATCGCAGTTGAAAATGTAAGGAAAAAATTTTCTGAAACAAAGTATTTTTCAACTTCCACAAAAATTTATAACGGGGTGGGTTTCGGAGTACAAATTTCTTTTTTACATTTATTAGGTTTCGTGGTCCGCTTGACCAAATAAATTCTTTTCAATTAATTAAGGCTTTGGTGGAGATAAAAAAAGTCAGTGTCACGAGCGGGATTCGAACCCACGATCTTCGGCTAAATACGCCGCAGCTTTACCACTTGAGCTATCGTGATTTCGATCTACTCGGAACACTAACTTCCCACCTTTTTGAAAAATGGCAAAAAGGAGGGAAAATTCAAAAAGTTGGGGTTGAGGTATGAAGTTAGTGTCCGAGTTGATCGAAATCAAGGTAGCTCAAGTGGTAGAGCAGCGGCGTATTTAGCCGAAGATCGTGGGTTCAAGTCCCGCTCGTAACACTGACTTTTTTATCTCAACCAAAGCCTTAATAAATGGAAAACAAAAATTAATATCAACTTTGTTTATGGCAAAAAATGATCTACTTTATTACGTCACTCGGTCACAAATTATATATTTCAATATCTACCCTACAAGGCTAATATTTTTTTAAAGCTAGAAACAATCATTGATTCAGTAAAATTTGATGCGGGTACTCATTGGACAGGTATTTTCCAATTTAACAAAAAATCTTCGTAACGCGTACATTTATAAAAAGCACTGTTTAGCGCACGCAATTACGACAACAATGGAAAGTTAAAAATGTATTTGGGAAGCGGATTTTCGAAGAAGAAAACGGTCGGGGAGGGTTGCGAGGTAGGTGGGCCGCACCCTGATGATGACAACGACTGTCCGTCACTCACAAATAGATCTGTCATCCCTCGCATCTCCTCGTCGTCATTCACATCTGCTTAGAAAAAGGGCTTCGGCCAAAAAGGGCACAATTCATATTTCCGAGCCTCCGTCCCTCGGGTCATTTTCTGTTATTTCGCCCTGTTTCAATTTTCCAACCGAGCTGGAAAACCCTTCCGACAATGGCGAACTGCGGCCTTTCGTATGTTTAAGTGCCTGTGGCTTATTTTAGAAAAATACACGTTAAATTAACAAAATTTTTAAACATGACAACACACTTCGATGTTGTATTAGATTTCATGACCTTCGATATATATAACATGGATTATTTGCGTGATAACACTTGTGACTCAAGCCAAGGATTAACCCGTTGAGGGAAGATAAACAAAAATAAGTATGTTTTAATGAAGTGGCTGACTCACTCAGCCCATAAGTAAATTGTCGGGTAAGGGGATCAAGAAACTAGATTAATATACGGTCGAGGTTGAAAATAATCCTTTCCGCCCTTTTAGATAAAAAAATAGACATACATTATATACAGAAATTATGAATTTTGCCGCAGAAAGAAGAAATTTTTGAAAATTTTACCATATCAATTTTATAAAATTGTTGATAAGGAACTTGCTAAAATACTACAGTCGACTCTGGATACCTCGAACCTCTGGGGGAAATTTAAAAATGCGAGTTATCGAATCGAGGTTCGAGGACTGAGACGGTTAATCAACTCCCAGAGTCGTACTTAATCCTGTTTTTGCAAGAAAAAATGCCGCTGGTTGCCTGGGCTTACAAAGAAAATTCGTCTAATCGAGTTTTTCATTTCGAAATGTTCGACTTATGAGGTAAAAATGGTGGCAAATGCTATATAAAAACGAGGGTGATTAAAAAAATTCCAGTTATCAAGGAATTCGAGTTATTTGTGGTTCGAGTTATTCGACTGTATTAACTAATCCATACATGTATTTTGTAGTCATTAATATTATTTTAATTAATTATATCTTTTCGAACCCACTACCTTAGGCTGAAAGATCTTTGAATATAAGGCTAAAACAGACAAAATTCGTGTAGGTTGAGATGAGGAGTTGGTGTCCGAGTAGATCGAAGTCAGGATAGCACGAGTGGTTAGAGCAGGGGCGTTTTAGGAAGCGTATAAGCATATAAAAACATTTTTTTTTAAAACCATCAAAAAGACATGTATAGGATATAATTAAAAATAAATGTAAATTGTATTTGTATTTCACATCACAGAAGATGGCGAGTAGAAGAAACCCGTCTAACAGACCAAACCAGCGACGATAAGCGGACCAAAGATGGCGATGGATCAAGTGGAAAGATCACAATTTAATGGTGAACATGAAGTGCAATGAAATCGTCAGTTAAGAATGTAACCAAAAATCAGAGGCCATTAATAACATTTACATTTAATGGACCAATACAAATATTTGAAGTAAAAAAATCTTGGTCGTTCCAACCATGTTCGTTATTAGGCGGACTAACGCGATTCCACTGAATCTATGACCTATTAATTAAATTAAGAAACCTTAGAAATGAATATTTTTCGACATAAAAGTTATAAAATATGAACTTTTAATTGTAGACAATTATCATAATTTTTGCTCAATTAAATTATTCTACAAACGTTTTAGCTCATCAACAATAGACATAAATAATATAGTAAAACTCTTTCTTATCGTTTATGTGGTAAGCTAATATTTTCCAAAGGAGGCTTCGAATCTTTTAAGACCTATTAATTAAACTAAGGATCCTTAGAAAAGCTTATTTTCCGACATAAAAATTACAAAATATAAACTTTTTAGTTGTAGATAATTATAAAAAATTTTCTCAATTAAATTCCCAAACCGTATTAGCTCATCAACAATGAACAAAAATAATAAAATAAAGCTCTTTTTTGTCGTTTACTTGGTAGGATAATATTTTTGAAAGGAGGGTTCTAACCTTTTAAAAACCACTCTGTAATTGTGTAGAACACTGGGAGTCATAAACGCAAATCGAAACGGGAAATCGGCCAACAAAACTACAATTCTAAGCACAAAATGACCTGGATTGGGTCGGCTTTTTCAAAAGTTCAAAAAGCTTCTGTACAATTTTTACAATCCGTAATAAACTAACGGCCTGAAGAGATGCCACAATAGCTGGCTTATTTGAAAAGTTAATTCTTTTAGAATCTGCCTTTTGTGGATTGTCAAATTTCTTTTATTTATGCTGCTCTGATTCAAATGTTATTTTTAGTTTTAATTTATCTTAAATTAATGAATGACTTACGTCAATAGCGGAGATTCCGCTGACGAGAGCCGCGACGGATGCCATGTTTGTGGACTTGAGAACGTTCATTCCAGACTGCTATCAGAATAAATGCAATGTTTACAGTTCGAGTTTCGAAAGGGTTTAGTTAAGGTTTAAAGCTTTAAAAGGGCAAATTCTTGTTTTGAAAAACATGTAACATCCTCCTTACAAACGTTTTATTTATAATTATAAAGGATTCAATCTGGACAACTTTGGGACATGGAAAATAGCTGACGAAAGCTGGAAAATGAACCCAATAAATCGAAAAACAGGAAAATATTGAAGAAAAACAAACATAATCTTAAACTAGAGAATGAACAAATGACGCTATCCAAAAAACAAAAAATACTTGCTTAATATTTTTTAGACTAGTTTCAAATTTTTACCGTTGTCGGAGAAAAATTATACAGGATACCTCAGGCCCCGTGCAATGTGAAATATGACCTTATACATCCTGATATAAATATAAGGAGCATATTTTAAAGGATGTTTTACACTGGAAACAATCGGATTTTAAATTGGTCAAAAAATGACACAATTCATTTTGGCAGATATCGCGCATGGGCTACAAAATAATATTAAAATATTCGAATCATATTGCACCCAGTGGAACCTGACAGTTAATCTCAATAAGTCCAAAATCATGATTTTCAGAAGAGGGGGGAGAATAAAGGCGACAAACCGCTGGCTTTTTAAGGGGGAAAGAATTGAGGTGGTGAACGAATACAAATACCTTGGAGTCACGCTCACCCCCCAACTACACTGGTCTCACCATCTGAAAAAGAAAATATCATATGCGAAGCTTGCTCTCTATAAAACCTAGGCCCCATTGATGAAACAGGAACTGGTTCTGATCCACGTGAAATTTAATGTATTCAACTCGGTATGTCGGACAATCATCAGTTACGGCTGCCAGATATGGGGCTACCAACAATATGAAGAAGTCGAGAAATTCCAAAGATTTTTTATTCGTAAGTTATTTGCTCTTCTTAACCTTACCCCAAACTACATGATTTATTTAGAAACGTCCACTGACCTGATTTATATATACATCTTAAAACTTCACTTTTAATTTATTTTCAAAATTTTGAATTCCCCTTACATAAAATTGGCAAAAATAACTGCGATCGAAGTCATCAGGAATAGATCGCCTGGTATGCCCAATGACTTACGCTCTTTCGTAGATTTGAAGTAACCTGTCCCACCTACGAAAACCTTGCTGATTGGCCAGCTCTTTTTTTTAGATCTGCTATCTAGATTCAAGGAACGGCATCGGGACGGTTGCTTACTCCGAACTCAGTCCTCGCTTAACTTTTCCTTGTTCAAAGACTTGCCTCACGCCCACACTTTATTTAATCTACAGAGAGAGAACCTTAATTCCCTTAGTCTTTCAAACTTAAGATGGCTACAAAAAACCCGTTGTGAGGCCCTTAACTTGAACTCTGCACTTTGGTTGAGGGGCCCTTTGCAATTCTCAATCTGTGGAAACAACTCTGCATTTTATGGCCGAATGTACAATCTTGGGCGAGATAAGGTTGTTGCACTTGGGATTTTTTACCCTCTTTAGGAGCACTCTGTTAAATCTGTTGGATGGCCCAGATCCACGGGCGCTCACGCAGTACGTCCGCTACGCCTGGAAATATAGATTAGACCTAATTATGGAATTCAATTTCTGACCCCTCCAATTCATTCACTCAATTTCCTTTATATAATATATGTCTTTATTATATCCGATTTTTTGTCCCTTTACCATTAAGACTTTTCCCCTCTGTTTGTTTTCTATTAGAAGTAGTTTTATTATTATGTTTAATCTTTTTTGATGGTGTACTAGCATGTAGCGAATGTTATAACCTCGCTTTAATTCTTATTTTTATTTTTTTTCGTTTATTCTTTTTCTCTTAACAACGACCTCAGGCAGACGGATTGTGATCCATGCCTGTATTATGCTTTGCTAATAATCATTGTTATATTCGTAGAAATAAAAGCATATATATAAAAAAAAAATAATAATAACCACATAAATTTATCTGAAAATCGCACTGGGAGAGGTCTAGGAATGCGGTCGTGTGAGACAATACAATAAAATAACAGTATTTAATTATTTATTTTAATAAAAAGGATGTAATGATATTGTAGGAGGATAAATACAGAATTAAACATGCACGTTAATAAAGGAATTTCTATAGTGCAATGCCTCAGAGAAGAAAGAAAGGTTGCACTACATAATTTATTACTTACTATACTTACTATTACTTATTGATCAAAAAATAAAAGTTCTTGTTGTTAACGTTATAAATAATGTAGTTCGTTAATAAGTATAAAGTTTCGAGTCTTTAAGCCGGCTTTTTTACTGTATAACCTTGTTATATGTTATAATTTATGTAATATCTCTTTTCCAATTATAGTCGAACATTCCTTGTTGTTACATTGTTTTTGTTGACATTGTTCGTAGGCTTTAATTCCAGCATACAATACGAGCCAGCGCATAGAATTTTTAATTACGGCCTAGTTCACATTGCCTAGATTAATTAAGATACTAATTAATTCCGTAACGACATTACGTTTATGACTCTGTTATGGGTGGGTTTACAACCGTTGGGATAATTTCTGTAACCAGAGTACATTTTTTATTTAACAGTTTCCCAATTGTTATGAGAATTATGAGGATGTTATTTCTGCAATGTAAGGATGGTACATCGTTAATTGGTCGAGCAGTAACGAACGATCAAAATGCAACAACTTATATAATTATTCAGACATCGTGAGATGCGGTCTGGTGTGATGTAGGTTTCAGAAAAACATTTTTTTTTATCGTGCCAACGTTTCGATCTTTAAATTCACTAATTTCGTGGTCCGCTTGACCAATTAATTAATTGTTTCGACCTTTATTGAGATCTTCTTCAGGGCCTGGGATTTACAAACATTGTTTAATTTTAACAAATACATATAGGATGTGGAAAAAAGTGAATTTATGCAATGCAAAAAATATGTTTTTTATTTTTTAATATTTTTTATATTAATCAAAGTATTTCTACTCACTCAAAGTGTTTGTTTTTTGCGTAAGTGTGCCATTCTTGCGTGTCGTGTTGAGAGTGCCAGTGAGATATTGCTATTTTTTGCACTGGCATTTGCNTATATATATATAAAGACACAATTTTGGAAGTCCACAACAAACTTTGATACTGTGATGACAAGAGTACAAAATTCTCGGATTTTCCTCTGCACACGCTCGATAATTCCAGCGGTTTAGTATGCCATTATAGCCTTAGAGGTGAATTGGATTCATCAGTTCATGGGATTATGGAAGAACGTTTTCATCATCCTCCCAAATCGACATTTGTGCAAGCAACGTTAGACGTCTGTTATAATCTTAAAATTGTAACTCAGGAGTACATCTCTAATTTTATTTTTGGAAAAACCTAAAACCCTTCCAACAATTCGGAGAGAGGAATCCGGATTTTCGGGAAAATACATTGAAATATTCCGCTCCTCGTCTATACTCTCGGTTTTTGCCATTTTAGTCATTTTTGGCCAATTTAAAATCCAATTGCACCATTGCTTTTAACGAAAAAATTCTTTTAAAATGATGTGTCAGAATGTATAGAGTCGTATTTAAAATTTTGAAGTTGAGCTGGGCCTGAGATCCCTATATAATTTTTCTTCCAAAATATCTAAAAATTTGAAACTAGACTAAAAAATATTAAACAAGTATTTTTTTATAGCCATTGGTCCAAGAAAAATTTAGTCAGGCCATCTACAAAGGACAATGTATATGAGTTATTTCTGAACCCAAAACTGAATAGGAAACTTCTAAAACTTTGAAAATGAAGTAAACGTGAACCAGTTTTCGGTCCTTAAAATGCCAAAGTCATGTCTGCACAACATCTAAGATAAAAAACAAAAAAAGGATGTAATACAAAGATAGAGTAAGACATATAAAACTTGAGTTTTTCATTTTATATATTCGTGAAACTACCCATACAAATACAATGGAATCATTTTAACCTCGATAACCACTATCTTTTTAACGGACAATTTTTGCATTCCCGGGCAAAACAGGATTTCTACACTTTTGAAACAGTAAAAATACATGAAATAATAACAAAAAAGTTTACGATTATTTTAGTTTTTTTTCTAATTCAAAACGTTGTAGCAAGGTAGGCAAGGAATGGCACGTAATAATAAATAATACTTTTTATTATGTATCCATTTTCACCAGGTTATAACAGTAGACACACTGAAGATGGCGAAGGTGGGCAATCCAATGATCGGTAACGTCTAAATTTCAGATTCATCACCCCACAAAAATATGGAGAAATGCAACAATGCAACTAACCCTCTGTCGTTTTTTGATAATTTTGATATGCCTGACCTCACTATTTTGATCTGTCAAACACCCATCCCTGACGTAAACTAAATCGTCTGCCTAATCAAAACAACGCGGATAGGCGGACCAGGACGGTACCACCACAAAAATGGCAAAATATGAAAGACGCTAACAGAGCAAAGACACAACAAATCCTTCACTTTTTATAAACTTATGAGCACAACTAGAAAATTAGACTAGACCAAAAACTTCCCTCTTTTCCTTACAACGTCTGCTCCCGATGACTGCTGATAAATCCTTACAGTGTAGCCTTATCACGACCATCACCCAGAAATGGGATCAGAACCGACCAATGTACTCGAAGAACAAATCCAAAACCAGCCAACTCTCATTGTTAGACTTCAACGTTAAAACTTCATAAGGGAGGACTTCCCTAATGCATTGTCGTTTAAGGTAACTTGATAATTCTCCAGATGGTTAGCAGAAACCAACTCGTTGAAGAAAGAAATCTTTGGTTAATAACATAGTAGGGGCTTGGAGAGAGCTCCTGCGGACTTTTGCCTGAAGGCTTTGCGTTTTCACCCTAAAAGTGAAATTTTGTATAATACCTTCAACACTTTTCGGTTCTAAAAGTCTTCGAGGTAGTCCAAGTCGTCTTTTATTGTTTCTTGTCTTGGGTGACGATGCCATGTCAATTTGTTGACTAGGCAAAGTCCTAAGTATGTAACTTGCACAAATAGTCCTCCTGGTTG